GTGTGTGTGTGTGTGTGTGTGTGTGTGTGTGTGTGTGTGTGTAGGAACCTGCCCAAATGAAACCCACAGATCTGTACACGCAGGAAAGGAAAGAACTGGCAGGGCAGGCTAAGCACGTCACGGTGCGGCGCCACTCTTCTGTTGACCTCCATAAATTATTACAGGGGAAAAAAAAAGAACTGTATTATGAATCACGTAGGTAGAAAATTTAAATTTTCTTTTCCCTTTTTCTTTTTATGGTACTAGTGATTGAATCCAAGGTCTACTGCTTGCTAGGTAAGGACTCTGCAGCCAAGCTAGATCCTTAACCCGTAATCGAAAATTTTTTTTAATAGCTACGTTTAAAAAATGGAAAAAAAAAAAAAGAGCTGGCCAAATAGTTCAGCAGCGGATTAAAGTGCCTGCAAGGAGGCCCAGGGGCCAGGGATTTAATCCCTGCGCTAAGACAGCAATGGAGACTGGGCGTGGAGGCGCATGCCTGTAATCCCAGCTCTTAGGAGGCCGTAAACAGGTGGATCACTATGAGTCCAATTTGGAGTGAGACCCTAAACACCCTGTAGACCCTTCCCTAAAATAGAAAAAAAAAAAAAAGGAAAACAGGTGGAATTAATTTAAATAATTTTATGTAATCCAAAATATCCTCAACTATACCAGTATGTAGACAATATAACTATTATTATTATTATTATTTTGGTGGTACCAAGGATCAAACTCAGGACCTTGCTCTTGCCAGGCAAGCACTTATTCCACTGAGCAAACTCCCTGGCCCCCCAAAATTAGAAGGATAATCTACATCCTTCTTTTCATATTGTCTTTGCCATTCAGAATGCACTTTCATTTGCAGCACTTTTGCAATTGGACTGGGACACTTGCAAGTGACCCGTGGCTACAAGTGGCCGGAGGCTACTGAACTGAATAACAGAACAGAGTGAAGTTAGCCAAGTGTCTCCTCTTGTTTTTGCAAAAGCTATCTTTGATAGTGGCTGGTCCAATATTTAAGAGATCTATTTATATATATAGATAAGTAAAATCACTTTAATTTATATATTAAATATGTGTACATAACCATGATATTAATACACTTTGAAATGAAAACCAACCAAACAAAAAATTCTGTCTTGGTTTTTTGGGGGTGGGTGGGTTGGTAACAGATCAGCCAAGTTAGCATGAGAGCGGCCAACTTCCATCTCCTACTGGAACATATCTTTCCCAAGTGTATTTTATTTGTCTTCATTTAAATCCAAATATACTTGCATATTCATCTTACTGTCCCATTGCTCAGATGAGAAAACAGATGGCCCGCAATAAGTCACTGGTACAAGTCCGCAGGGGCAGGGGACAGGGACAGAAGGGGCTTGGGTGACACTGCCTCGCTGGGCAGGGCAGCTGAAATTGAGAAGCACTGCTTTCATTTCCTCCTGTCTTTGATACATTTCGCATTCCTGCTCTCAGGTTGCAGGGAGAGATGAACAGCGATTATGTGGAACCCCAGAGAGACAGGCCCTCATTAATTGTGCACCAGTGAGCAGAAAGGCTGACGTGGCCACGCCCAGGATCTGGAGGCAGATTTACTACGTCGGACGTAGATCGTTTCCAGAACATCAGGCCGGATCTCTGGTGGTCTAAGGCTTATATGGGATAAGCAAGCAGGAAGTGCAGAGACACAGGGCTTGTCCGTTCGGGACGGGCTTATACAGTGCGCATCGCAGTGACAGGCTGTTTCTTTTCTTTTCTTTTTTTTTTGCGGAACCGGGGATTGAACTCAGGCCCTTGCGCTTGCCAGGGAAGCGCTTATTCCACTGAGCCATCTCCCTGGCCCCTCTTTTTTTTTAAAAAATTAATTTTATTCAGAAAGAAATAGCAATAAGACAGTTTCAAAACAGGTTAGTAGGACAGTTACAATAATTAATACATTGCATATTGTTATCTTCATAGTAGTTATTCATAGTAAAGATGCAGACATAATATCTTGCCTAAACACTATTAGTACAAATCTTTCTTCTCATTGAACTAAGAGAAAGTAGCTGTATATCTGTTTAACCTAACTAATTTGTATATACAGATATGTAATTTTTTTTCACTACAAAATGGTCCTTCATTTATATCCCCCTTTTTTGTTTAGCTTTGTCAGAGACGGGTATTCCACTGCCATTCAAATACTGTAGGTGTGTGAATTTGGCAAAATAATCCAATATAGTGCAGTAGTCCATAATAGTAGTGGGTTTTCCTTAAGACTGGCAACGCCAGAAGTTGTTGACTTGAGCCTTTTACAGCTCAGCATATTAATATGGCTTTACATTTTATATCTCACGATTATACTTTTCTGCTGGATGGTTAAGACCAAGATAGAGCAAGACCTATATAACAAAAAATGTAACTTTTGTATCTGCCAAGGTCAGTCAAATCCCCACATGATTTACCCTGAAACTATGTACAGCTGTTTCTTTTTTAATCTTTTTTTTTTTTTTTTTTTTTTTGGTGGAACCAGGAATTGAACTCAGGTCCTTGTGCTTGCCAGGCAAGCGCTTATTCTACTGAACCATCTCCCTGACCCCAGTACAGCTGTTTCTAAGAGGCAGGAGCAACGGAAACTGGAACAGGAACTGCTATGGCGACAACTAAGAACCTGAAGTCTACTAGCTGGGGGGCTGGTGGTGGCATCATTTTCTGCTACAGTTAAAGAAAAACCCAAATGTTCTATTAAGGAGAAGTTTGAAAAAAAATCTTTGCTTATCTGAAGGCTTTATTCTCAAGACATTAGGCAGTGGAACACAATTGGAGGTCAAAATGGAGAAAGTGGGCAGTTACGCTCCCCTCCCTCCTACCCCGTCCCTAACCACAGGGTAGCTTCCCCGGGGTGCAGCAGGCTTCCCTGGATCAGCAAACAAAGCAAGCCTGGCCTCTGTCCGGGAGGATGCTTCTTTGATTTCAGCAGCAAGTATCAGAGGAGCGTGGACCACGCGTGTGCTCCCGTTTAGGAGCTGGCTAGGGACACACTGTGACTGGCTTTTGTGAGCCTCCTTTTTCCATTAAAAATTGCACAAATTATATTTTACAATTGTGTGCTCTACAGCCAAATAGAATCTCTAACAGTCAATTTTATATGTTTTCTTCTGATTTTAAAAGAAAGGAAAAGATTTCCGCAGCCCCCTAGAAGTCTGGTGGGCGTGCACAGTGCCGGCTGCCGCTGCTCCTCAAGAAGTGGGCCTGGGGCTGGTGAGATGGCTCAGTGGTCTAAAGCACCTACTTAGAACAAGCTTTAGCAAAAACCCAGGGACCACAGTTCGATCCCCCAGCACCACATGCCAGCCAGCCCGCCCCCTGGTGGGCTGAGCTGGCCACACACATACACACACACACACACACACACACACAAAAAAAATTTAAAAAAAAAAAAAAAAAGAAGTGGGCCTGGAAGTCCTGCTTCCTGGCATGCAGTCCCTCTAGTCCTAGAAGCCCCCCACCTTGCTCCCTCTCAGAGTCTCTGCCCTTGCTATGTCTCCTGGCAGCTGTCTTGCTGGCCTGGGCCTTGTCCTGCCTCTGTCAGGTGCACATCAGCTGTCCCGAGAGTCCTTCCTCCAAAGCCCTCGCCCCCACCACCACCTGAGCGTCTCCATTCTTTGGAGTGCTGTGCACGAACTGAGAGCCGCGCTCATTTAAGATGTTGCTCTCTGCCCTCTCCTGCAGGAAAGGCAGGGTCCTGAGGGCACAAGTCTTCCTTCCTTCTTCCTCGCTGTGTAGTTCTTGGTACTAGCCACAGTGCCTGGCATTTAATAGGCACTCACAAACCTATGAATGCTCCTCTCCAGGATAATACCTAGCAGTTTCTTGTGTTTGAGGCTTTTCTTTGTGCTTACTGATCTATCATTTTCTAACCTATCTTTATATTTATTATCTGTCTTCTCTATAAATCTGTATCTCTTTGTAAAAAACAATATAGACGACACTTGTCCTGGACCAGGCCCTTGAGCATGCTCAGCACCCCCTACCCAGGAAGCCCTCTACCCCTGAGCTACATCCCAGCCTGTAGCTGTCTTTCTGTCTTTTTCTCTGTATTTTTTCTGGAGCGGGGAGTTGAGACAGGGTCTCACTATGTAGTTCAGGCTGGACTTTAGCTCATTGTTTAAGCCAGGCTGGCCTCGAACCTGCAGCGATCCTCCTGCTTCAGCTTCCCGAGGACTGGGACTATAGACACGTGTGGCTACCCCTGACTTACCTACCACTCTTACAAATGCTTCTTATTTGTTTTTTTGAGGCAGGGTCTCGCTGTGTAGTCCAGGCTGGCCTTAAACTCACTGTGTAGCCCAAGTCTGCCTTGATCTCCTGGTGACCCTTCTGCCTTGGCCTCTTGAGTGCTGGGATGACAGATTTGTGTCATCATGCCTGCCTGGTTTAATGCTTCCTTTTCTCTCTCTCTCTCTCTCTCTCTCTCTCTCTCTCTCTCTCTCTCTGTCTCTTTGTCTCTCTTTGTCTCTGTCTCTGTCTCCCTGTCTCTGTCTCTCTCTCTGTCTCTCTGTCTCTCTGTCTCTGTCTCTGTCTCTCTGTCTCTGTCTCTCTTTGTCTCTGTCTCTGTCTCCCTGTCTCTGTCTCTCTCTGTGTCTCTGTGTCTCTGTCTCTGTCTCTGTCTGTCTCTCTCTCTCTCTCTGTGTCTCTCTGTCTCTGTCTCTCTTTGTCTCTCTGTGTCTGTCTGTCTGTCTGTCTGTCTGTCTGTCTGTCTGTCTGTCTGTCTCTCTGTCTCTCTCTCTCTCTCTGGGAAAGGTTTATTTAGCTCACGTAGGCATTTCAGTTCATAATCGGCTGACTCCAAGGCAGGTAGCACATGCTTGAGGGGCAACAGTTCAAGACACAGGAAGATGCTCAGAGCAAGCAAGGGAGACAGCTGTGCTTCTTTTCTTCAAAAGTAATTTATTGTGTTTAGTTTTGTTTGTGTTATTATCCTTTCTTTTTATTTATTTATTTGTAGTTTGAAAGATGTATCATTTGTTTTGAGTCTCATCTACCATGTATATATAAAGTATTCATTATCATGTATAATTGTGTAAAATATGCAGTTTTTACACATAAATTATGTGCCCATCACTGACTGATGAGCTTCAGCACTGGGCTGAGTAGCGTTGCCTGTCCTGGTTCCTGTCCTCCTGGAATGTGTGATGTGGCCGGATTAGGAGGTAGGGTCACGGCAGATGTGGACAAGGTAAAGTGCAACCCTCGTGGACTAGGTGGGTTCTAATGTCACACACAGACTCCTTCTAAGAAGAGGGGAGTCTGGGCAGAGGTACGCAGGAGCGCAATCATAGGAAGGAGGCAGGGGTTGGATGGGTCTCTCAGCCAAGGGATGCCACAAATTACACAAATATAAGGAAGTGGGCCTGAAACATGGCACAGTTTCTCCCCTCCAGGCTCCAGCAGGAACTGGAGTGGCTGCCACCTGGACTCTGGACTTCTGCCCTGAAGAACTGCGAGAGGCCTGGGTCCAGTGGCTTACACCTGCAGTCTCAGCTATTTGGAGGCTGAGGCAGGAGGACTTCCTCAGCAAGATTTAGCAGGATTCTGGGAATTTAGCAAGATTCTGTCTGGAAAGAAAGAAAGAGAGGGAGGGAAGGAGGGAGAGAGGGAAAGAGAGAGAGAGAGAGAGAGAGA